GGGAAAGTAAAGGAGATTACTTTAGGCCTCCCAACCTTATGTCCAATTTGGAAAAAGTCCCCATTTAATGGAAAACATGAACTTCTGCAGATAAGAGCAAGACGAGAAGTTCTAGACAATGAAAATCCAGATGACACTTGGCAAGAACCCTCTAGTGGAGTGAAATTTGGATGGGCCCTAGAGTCATTGCTTGGTCCTATAGCAAACTATAAGAGCAGAGAGATGCTGTACAAACTTACAGGTCAGGTAGGTAGACTGGCAAGAGTCACCTGGGAAGGATTTAAAGAATTAAATATACAATTACAAGCCACCACAAAAATGACTTTACAAAATCGATTAGCCCTAGATATGTTACTCCTGCAAGAGCATGGAGTATGTGGATTTTTAAAGGAACAAGTTATCATTGCTGCGTTCATATCCCAAATGTAACTGCAGATGTAGAATATGACATCAATTAGTTGAAACAAATAGATCATGAAGCACAAGAAGAGCAAAAGGATTTGGCTACAAGCTGGTTAGGAAAAATCTTTAAAGGATTGGGGTGGAATGTGAGTTCATGGATTAAATCTATCATTGAGAGTGTGATAATCTTACTAATTGTATTTCTAGCAATTTGATTAGTTTACAGCATCTTAAAGGGAGAGATACAGAAGAAAACATCCTGGAACCAGAGGATAATAAAGGCACTAACACGAGATCCACGCCCACCATCTTCTGGTTCTCCAGTTCGTAACAGAATCCACGATAACGTTTACATCAACCCTGGATTTGAAGAACCAAGTACAAACTGAGGAATAAAGGACTGTATCAAGTGAAAACATTTACACCTATAGTGAAGTGAAAATGCTTTCAAAGGGGGGAGAATGATAGTGGAACCCTGGAAAAAGTTAAAGATAGAATCTAAAATGTTAGGCTTTGTGCTTTCCCAGATCAACTGCACCTGCGTAAGCAGTATGATAAATTATATAGTTGTTAGATGTGATGATTGTTTAGTAATTAAATGTAATTATTATATAACCATAAGAAGAATAGTGAGAAACTATGTTGGAAATTCAGAGAGGGGCTAAATTTATGTATACAATAGAACAATATAAGTTTAATAATTAACATGAAAGTTATGTAACGATAGAGTGTAAAACATGATCATTTCGGATGTATGGTCGGAGTCAGATTTGGGTTGAATATACCCCGATTCCCAGAGCTCTTAATAAAAAGCACCGCATATAATCGTTCCGTGATTATGTGTTTTTGAACGCTAACAGTTTGACCAGGAAGAAGTGGGAATTCTGGGATGCTGTGGTCAAACCAATGGGTGCTCAGATTTTGATATTGGCACCTGATGTGGCCAGTGGGATCTGGACACACCTCCGAGGACACACAGGGGTTAAAAGCAGAGCTTCGGACCTGGGAGGCTCTCTTGCTCTCTTGGGACTTTGAGGGACGGAGGTCGGATCTCCCTTCCCCCCCCCCCCCCCAGCCGCTGCTGCTGGGCGGGGGAGGGGCAGCCATGTGGTAGGCCTGGGCCTGGACAGAGATGGGAGGTGAGGAGGCCCTTGAGGATGGAAGGGTGGAGGAGCCCCAAGAGACAGCCATCGGGCAGCCATCCCCCCCCAGGAGAGAGAGAGAGGGAGAAGAGCCGGCGACGACGAATGTGATAGCAGCCGGCCCAGGAGGAGAAAGGAGGGGAATGCAGCGAGGGAGGAGGTGGCCGGCCGGAGCAGCAGCGAGTGTGGGAGTGCCGGAGTTCTGGGACAGGCAGAGACTGAAATTTTTAACCCCTTTCTTTCATGATTGGGACCTCGCAAAAATGCTGATCCTCCTCGGAGCTGAATACGAAGGGAGATAAGAGATAAGATAACAAGGACCTGGCCTGAAGAACGTGGAGAAGGCTTGCTGAGTGGGGAGAGATGATTGGAGTGGCCTTTTGGCTGGACTTTTCTTGTGTGGCCATAGACTGAACCAGTTTTATTTCTGTGACACAGAGACTGCATTTAGGGGGAGGCAGTGCCTCAGAACCAGGAGGGTTCATTGTGGGGACCCCTCGGCCCCAGGGGGTTGGAAAAAAATGGGGGGGACAGATGTCCCAAAGCAGAGACTGTGCCTTTTTGGAGTGAGACAAGGCATCCTTAAAAGACAATACTAAAAGCAGCTCTGGTCCGTGCACAGTGGTGAGAGCACTGGGCATGGAAGGAAGATGTCACAAGTGGCAAAAGGACTTTCCGGGCGGCGCCGAGTGACATGGAAGCACACGAGGTTTCAGCGTGTTTCCAGGGGAAGCCTATAGTGCAAGAAAGACTCCTCTCCTCTTCATAGACTGAAGCTTGAATATCCTAAAAGGTGGTGCCAGACTGGGCAGTTGGTGATTTGGGGGAATGTATTGGATTGAGAAATTTTGGTGGTGGGGAGGAGGAAAGTGTTTTTTGTAAGGTTTTCAATTTTTTTTTCCTTATAAGTTTTTTCCTTCTTTTCTTGTAGTTTAGGTAATAAAGTTTTCTTTATGTTTAAGCTAGAGCCTGCTTTGCTTATTCCTGGTCACATCTCACAGCAGACACCAGGGAGAAGGTATTCTCATGGGGGCACTGGCTCTGTGCCAGGCCCAAACCATGACACTGCCCAAGGCAGGGGGGTTGGAACTAGATGATCTTGAAGGTCCCTTCCGACCCAAACCATTCTATGATTTTATGAAGTAGTATTTTATGAAAGAAAATGTGACAAGCCTGAACAACCCCTCTTGGGTCAATCAAAATGTAGTTCAGCTTTTAATGATGTTCTTTAATAAATTCCTTCAGCCATGATGGGGGTGAGTGAAGCAATGGGGGAAGACAGAGGGTTAAAATAGCTTCCCTGGTGTGAAGTGAGCTGTGAGGAACAGGTCCCAACAAGCCACCAAGTAATTCTTTTTTCAGACTTAATCTTCCATCTCAGTTTACAGTTAAGCACATAATCCTTGCTTTGATATTTATACCTCACTCTACATCTTCTCTTTGTTCCACCAAAAACGAGAAAAAAAAGAGTAAGACTAGGCTGAGAGATTCAGATGTGTGTGAACCTTGTAGGTCCTTCTTCTCTTCTGGGAGAAGGTCAACTTCTGGTGTCATGGCAGGGATTGGGATGGTGTTAAATAGATCCAGGTACAGGACTTACTTCCCTGACCCTGTATGACAGTATAGCTGAATAAATGAATCCCAACAATTTTTGGTGAGACGTCATTTTGGAGAATGCTAAGGAAACTGGGACTTCACTTTACCTGCACGTTAGAAATATAGTCCTCCTGGGGGTTATAAATGCCTTGGAAATGTTCGGAATTTACAAGATAGTGCTGGAAACCAGACACTTCTAATCTGTTTCAAAAATGAGCTGGTCATTTATGGGTGAGCAGCAGGATGTGTCCCCCAGAGAGTTCCCAGGACCATAGAATCCTAGAATCATGGAATGTTTTGGGTTGGAAGGAACTGTAAAGATCCCTGCCAGGGGCAGGGACATCTTCCACTTGACCAGGTTGCTCAAAGCCTCATCCAACCTGGCCTTGGTAGGAATCACCATGTAGTATTTATGGGGAGCATTTGTTGTGTGTGAAGTCATGTTGCTGCCACAGCAGGGATGGCCCTGAAGCTGTGAGCTCATTTTGCCATTCAAAAGAGCAAATTGAAGTGAACCAAAAGGCAGAACTTCAGCTACATCAACTGGCTTCCACCTGCATCTACATTTGATATACCCCATAATCCTTCTGTACTGCCTACTCCTTCAGACAATAGATTGATGTAACTATTTTACAACCAATATGGACAGAAGTTTGGAGAATTACATGGTGATGGTGTTCACAGGGGTTTTCAGGTGAGGGAAGAGACGAGGATGTTGACTCTATGTTCAGAAGGCTTAATTTATTATTTTATTATATATATATTACATTAAAACTATACTAAAAAGAATAGAAGGAAAAGTTTCATCTCAGAAGGCTAGCTAAGCTAAGAATAGAAAGGAATGAATAATAAAGGTTTGTGTCTCGGACAGAGAGTCCAAGCTAACTGGGCTGGGATTGGCCATTAATTATAAACATCTAAGATGGGCCAATCACAGATGTACCTGATGCATTCCACAGCAGCAGATAACCATTGTTTACATTTTGTTCCTGGAGCCTCTCAGCTTCTCAGGAAGAAAAATCCTAAGAAAAGGATTTTCATAAAAAGATGTCTGGACATTACATATTTTTTTTATTGACTGCAAAGTCATTATACAATTCTATCACCTCAAATATGAGCACGGTAGAAAGAACTTGATATTCCTAAAACAGACTTTATAAAGGCTTTATTGGATTCTAATTTGTAGTATGGGCTATAAATTGTTCAAGCCACAGTGCTCATACCAATGTCCCTGACATATTGGGCTGCCCTTGAAGATGCTCTGTTTAATAAAGCAACTAACTCCGTGAGAGATCACTTTCAAGCACTTTATTATGGTTGTATTAAGATGTCCACAGCCAATTGCCTTTGCTTTTACCACAGAGAAGGGAGATGGGCTCTGTTGGGGATGGTAACTGTTAAATCACAGAGCCTTTACCTCAGCGAGGAAACACACAACAAGGTATGAGGGGAAAGAGGGCACCACGTCCATCAGACGGTGTCTGTCATTTTTGTCTGTTTTGGGGCTCACCCCGTCTCACCGGACCTTAATTCACAGCACCCCACCGTCCCAGGGCTCACCGAAGCGCTGAGGCGGCGGGGTCGAGGGCGGGGCCTCCCCGCACCCCGCAGGCCCCATCCATCCCTGGCGCCGCCCAGGAACCGGCTTTGCCGCCCAATGGCGATTCGGCGAGCGCGGGGCGGGATCACCTCTTCCCCGCTGATCCCTCTATTCCAGCGCCGTCTGTAGGCCTCTTGTGGGGAGGGTTATGGGGTAGAAGGTCTGCTGAGAGTGTGGCCCCTGGGGTCCGGGTCGTGCTCCTCACGGCATGGCGGCTCCGCGCCGCTAGACCCTGCCCGGCCTGCCGTGCCTTCCCCGCCATGCCGAGCAGCAGCGCCGCCACGGCTTCCTGTGCCGCCGAGCTGCCGCGCCTCCCCCCCGCCCCCCGCTGCCTCTACTCCAGCAGTACATCTCCGGCCTCGGCTTCCGCGACCATGGCCTGCCCGCCGGAGGCAGCGGAGTGATGGGGGTGGCCCGGCAGCGGGCGGGCTTGGCGCCTCCGCCGGACTCCCTCGGGGAGCCGAGGCTTGGCGGAGCGGGGGAGGCGGCGGCGAGGGGCGAGGGAGATCTGGAGCTGGACGAAGAGGACCACCTGGCCGCGCTGCTGCTGCTCTCCATGTCTTCCTCGCCCTCCCAGCCGCTCCCGCTTCTGCCGGTGTTGGGATCCGTCCTGCTCTCGCCCGCTCTCGATGAGCAGGAGGTAGCGGCCGGGGCGCACGATCCTGAGGGCATGATGGCGGCAATGCTGTCCCACGCTTACGGCGGTGGCCTGAGTGGCGGCAGTTCGGTGGGCCTCAGCGGCGAGCAGACGGCGTTGCTCTGCGGAAAGAGCGTCAACACCACCGAGTGCGTGCCCGTGCCCAGCTCTGACCATGTGGCTGAGATCGTGGGCCGCCAGGGTGAGTGAAGGACTGGATGGGTTGTGGGGCGGCCTGGGCCTGCTGCCCTTCCCCAGGGTTCGTGGCAGGCCTCTCCCCGCACGTCCCTGGGGCATGCTCCTTCGAGGCTAGCTGCAGGAGCCCCTTGCCTCGGTAGTAGCATTATGCCCCCTGGGGACGACCTCTCCCTCCCAGCCTCTAGCTTCCCCATGGAGTATAGGATGCTGGCACCAGGCCAGCCCTGCTTGAGAAGGCGAGAGCAAGGACTGGATTAGCTCAAACTTTCCATTTTTGTTCATCTGAGCTGTAAAATGCAGTGGATAGCCTGGCAACGTACAGGTAAGTGTTGGCATAGGCTTTGCTTTTCAGTGACACTTGGCTCGTGATCTTTAGTGAGAAGCTGACTTTCACTGTAGAAACTTAGTATTATGTTTTATAAAGATTTTTGAGTAAAGGGCTTTAATTTGCCTTGGAGAGCAAGGTATGGGCTGACACTGTTCCTACAGCTTTTCATGGTGCTCACCGATTGCAAAGACCTGAACAGTCAACGAGATGGAGAAAGGAGCCATGTTTAGCCTTCCTCTGTGTGAAAGCCCTTGTCTTTCTGTTTGGGTTATGGCTTCCTGTTGATTGCCGTTGCTACACTCGGTGAGTCTCTATTATGTCATTAGGATGAAGTCATCAGTGATGTCACCATCATTCTGTGCCTTTTATATGGTCTTGTAGGAGTGGTGCTTGGAGGAGTTAAATGTTTTGCACCATCTTTCTAGTGGTGAACTTAATTTTAAAAGCCCTTTGTATATATTGGAAGAAGCACTGAGCAGTGTCAAGTGTAGGTGTGGAAACTCGGACAATGAAGTTGCCATTCTCTCTTCCCTTTCTGCGTTATTTTTTATTGTTTTGGGGGTGGTGTGTCTCATTTGCTAATGAGCTTTGATAATGAGCAGTTATGCTGCCTAGTCTCTACACCAGTGTGGATTGTTTTTTTCCCTTAAGTATGGAAGAAATAGTAAGATTGGTCTAAACCAATGTGGTACTAAAGAAAGGCCCACTGAGCACCAATGCTTAGGCGAACTTGTTTTCTCTTTCTACGTTTATTTTAGGTTTTTAGCAGTTAAGGGTGGGATTTTTGCTGTATGTGTCAAAGGAGAATAGAAGGCTGTGCAGCAGAAATTTTCAGGTAGCTTCCTCTGATGCAGACAAGTCTGTTCTGTTCAAGCAGAAAATTTGTTTTCCAAGAAATGGTGTTTCAATGTCTTAAGACTATTCATGTGTCACTGGGGATGGTAGGCAGAGGAGAGGGTGGTGGGTGGATAACAGAACTGAAAACTGCGATTGCTGCAGTTCTCTAAAGAAATAGAAACTACTGGGCTTCAAGGACTGGTTAGGCTGCCATGTTTATTCTCCACCAGATCAGGGTTGTTCTCTGTAGTATATTTTCCCATACTTTGAGTCACTTAAAGACAAGATAATGGGGTTTGCATAAAAATAGGATCATTGTTCCTGAGGGTTCATTTGCTGCTTCTGCTTTTATTTTTCATCTGGTGTCATGCTGTTTGGCTTGTGATAAAATATTTAGCCTTGATGGGGAGGGATTTTATAATACCAAGAATTAGGGCTACAAAAGAGGAAGGAGCAGGAGTAAAGGGAGCACTAAAAAAATTGTTACCAAATATACTTGCATGAAAACTTTGTGCAAGGAGGCCCTTCAAAATTCTCATTAATGGGAGACATGCTTAAAGACTGCCTCATGTAAGTTGTATTAGTTCCACTAAATATTTGTCAAATGGCTTAAGACATACTAGTCCTTGCATCCCCTTTTATGGTACAGAACTGTGCTGGCTCATTGCATGGGTTTGAGGCTCTTGCTTTCTCATCCAATTGCTTTGCATGTATCTGTGCCCTAGCCCACAAAGTGTTGTCAGTTGTAGTGCAGCTTAGTCTGCCTTGAGCAAGGCTGGTCAGAGCTGCATCCTTCACAGATCGTTCTGCTCTCTGTAAAAATAAAGATGCATATTCTCTTCCTAGCAGACATCCTAACCAGCTGGTTACATTATTATACTTTTCACTAGACCAGGTTGTGCAAAGCCCCATCCAACCTGGCCTTGAACACTTCCAGGGATGGGGCATCCACAGCTGCTCTGGGCAACCTGTTCCAGTACCTCACCACCCTCACAGGAAAGAATTTCTTCCAAATATCTAATCTAAACCTATTCTCAGTTTGGATCCATTCCCCCTTGTTCTATCACTACATGCTCTTGTAAATAGTCTCTTTCCATCTTTCTTGTAGGCTCCCTTCAGGTACTAGAAGGCCACAATTAGGTCACCCCAAAGCCTTCTCTTTTCCAGGCTCAACAATCCCAGTTCTCTTAGCCTTTCCTCATAGGAGAGGTGCTTCATCCCTGTAATCTTGGTGGCCTACTCTGGACTCCAACAGGTCAATGTCTTTCCTGTGCTGGGGACCCCAGAGCTGTATGTAGCACTGCAGGTGGGGTTTCATGAGAGCAGAGGGACAGAATCACCTCTCTTGCCTTGCTGCCCAGGCTGCTTTTGATGCAGCCCAGGATACAATTAGCTTTCTGGACTGTAAGTGCACATTGCTGGCTCGTGTCCAGCCTCTCATCCTCCAGCACCACCAAGTCCTTCTTGGCAGGGCTGCTCTTGATCTTTTCATCTCCCAGCCTGGATTGCCCTGACTCAGGTGCAGAACCTTGCACTCAGTCCTGTTGAACCTCATGAGATTCTCATGGGCCCACTTCTCAAGCTTGTCTGGGTCCCTCTGGATGGCATCCCATCCCTCAGGTGTGTAAACAGCACCACTCAGCTTGGTGTCATTTGCAAATTTGCTGAGGGTGCACTCAATCCCTTTGTCTATGTCATTAATGAAGATATTTAATAACACTGGTCCCTGTACAGACCCCTGAGGGACACCACTTTTTACTGATGTCCATCAGGACTCTGAGCTGTTGACTGCTACCTTCTGGATGCAACTGTCCAACCAATTTCTTATCCATTTAACAGTCCACTCATTGAATCCATCTCTTTCCAATTTAGAGAGAAGGATGTTGTGTGGGACTCTGTCACAGGCCTTACAGAAGTCCAGATAGATGATACCTGTAGCCCTTCCCTTGTGCACTGATGTAGTCGCTCCATCATAGAAGGCCACGAAGTTGGTCAGGCAGGACTTGCCCTTGGTAAAGCCATGCTGGCTGTCCTGAATCACCTCCATGTCTTTCATGTGCCTTAGCATAGCTTCTAGGAGGATCTGTTCCATGATCTTCCCAGGATTATCTTGAATGAATTCAGATATAAGTTTTATGCCAGACTCCTCTGTACTGCAGTACTTTTTTTATGTAGGGGTGATGAGATTGAAATGCTACTTCTGACAGATTTCCACAAAGATTAGGTTTATATTCTTTCTGTTGCTGTCTGAGGTATAAAAAGAACTTGAAAGTCTGCAGTCTAAAAACATCAGCTCTGAAATACCAGGAATGCGGAATTTGATCTAGGCTTTGCTTGAGGCCCCATTACTGTGTCTGAGAGCGTGTTTTTTGTAAGTCCTAACTGAAAAAGTAATGATAACCAGAATTCCACAGTATTCTTTATCCAAATTTAATTTTTTTGCACAGTGGAAGAGAATCTCTAGACACTTTATCAGACCAAAGGAGCTTCTGAGTTCTAAGCAAGCTGTAAACAAGCAAAGACCGTATGGCGCACGCATTTAACATTTTTTCCATTGTGTGTGAGTTTCAGAAATAAATACAGCACTTAAGGCAGTGGTGTTCCCACAGCCCTGCTCTAGGTTTCTGGATTCCAGATTAGAATCATAGAATGGTTTAGGTTGGAAGGGACCTTCAAGATCATCTAGTTCCAACCCTCCCCTGCCATGGGCAGGGGGTGCCTTTCACCAGATCAGGTTGCTCAGGGTCCTATCCAACCTGGCCCTGAACACTTGCAAGAATGGGGTATCCACAACTTCTCTGGACAATTTGTTCCAGTGCTTCATCACCGTTTGAGTAAAGAATTTCTTCCTAACATCTCCTCTAAACCTGCCCCCTTTCAGTTTAAAACTATTGCCCCTTTTCCTGTCACTATCTGCTTGTATAAAGAGCCCCTCTCTCTCCTTTTAATAAGCCCCTTAAGATACTGGAACACTGCAATGAGGTCTCTCCGAAGCCTTCTCTCCATGCTGGACAATCCCATGCCTTTCTTCATAGGAGAGAGGTGCACCAATCCTCTGATCATCTTTGCGGCCACCTCTGGACCCACTCTAACAGGTCCACATCTTTCTTGTGCTGAGGACCTCAGACCCCTGGATGTGCTACTCCAGGTGGGGTCTCAGAAGGGCAGTGTTAGGGGGGTCGAATCACCTCCCTTGACCTGCTGGGCATATCTTGCTGCAGCCCAGGGTCTCGTGTGGGCATTTTTGCTGGCAGCTGTGCACAGATGTGGGATGCCACAGCTATAGAAGGCATGGAGTGCTTGAAATGCATTTTGTGGTTGATAGTTGAAACTATGTTAGAGGTTGCTGGGTTACTGTGACAGTAGTTCAATGTGTTGCTGCTCGAAGCATTTACATCACTGGAAAAGGATTAAGACTTTAATGAATAAGTTAAGTGCTCCTTCAAAGTTGTGTATTATTTCTAAAACCTGGCAGATTTTTGTGCCTTTGTTTTATTTTTTTTAAATGTTATTTTTATTAATCTGAAATGTTCTCAGCCTTTTCTTATTCCCCTTGCCCATCGAGAAATGAAGTTGACAGACACTTTTTGAGGTAGTGCAATATATTTCTTTGTAGTCTTTGAGGTAGCAAAATCTCAAAGGTGAACAACAAAGGAAAAGATTTTTGTATCCTTTTATTCTTTTAAAGGCATGCGACTGGGAGCCAAGAAAACTAGATTCCATTCCTGGCAGTGTATAGGCTTCCTGTGTGAATTTGAACTAGCTGTTGAATCCACCCTTTGCTAACTTGGCCAGTCATCATGCTGAGCAGAAAAGCTACTTCCTTTGCTGTCAGCAGC